ATTTCAAATGCCTTTTAGTAAAGTTACGACTTTCTTATCAAAACGAAAACCATTATGTGAGTACCATTAATTTGTAACTAAAGAACTTTGTAAGGCTTACCCATTAGTTAGCCTTATTGGTAACCCCACAAAGAGCAGGAAACCAACTGCAGAAATAACAAATCAAAGTAATCGATGACCCTCAACAAGGGTATCGAATGGATGCCAAGTGCCTTTTTACGATTATATTTTATTTGGATTTTATTTCGGATTTCTTTGTCGCGACTCTGGCCTGCTGAAATTCAAAATCATGGCCATGGCTCCTAGCATGCGATTTCACGTTTTTCGTTATTTTTTTTACGTCTTTCGGTCTTTTAGCCACACACCAGCAGAAATACAATCACAAACACTCGGCCGAGAGACACGCAAATAAATAAATAAACATGGCTGAATAAATGAATATTAAAAGGCCAAAAGCTTTGACCAAAAAGAGGGAAAATAAATACAAGTAATAATGGGACGAGAATAAACAAAAACCGATATTCGATACGCAAATGGCAGCTAGTGTTTAAATGTTTGCTTGCCTTATCAGTTTCTTTTTGCAATTGTTTATTCCAAAATGCGAAGGGGAAACTCGAAACCCAAAGCATGCAACCGTACAATGCGTCAAAGAAATTTCAAATTTGATTGACGACAACAAAAGATTGGCCGCCGACGTCATCCGGCAAATATTTTAAAGCTTGAATTGGAACTTGAGGCTTAAGGCTTGAGGTTCATTTTTTTTCTAATGCTTTTGCCGCCCACGTACGTTGCCCAGCCAGAACAACAACAACAACAGCGAAAGATACAACAGCAAAAAGATACAACTGCGAAAGATACTTTTACACACAAACACACACTGAAGCAGCGAGAGCGGCGAAACCGCGAGAGCGGAAGCAACAACTTCGACAGCATAGAAGTGTGTGCGAGCAAAGGGGGCGTGGCGGGGGCGAAAGGGGCGAAAAGGGGAGTGACAAGCTTTTGCGGTTTTTAGTTACACCGACCTCAGCTTGTTTGCCGGCACAGTGGGCCACATTGGAGCTAGAGCCACAAAAATGTTATCTATTAGAATCTATAATAAATACTTATAACAAAAAAAAATATTTCAAGATTTATGATCTTGAAGTAAACATTAAATAGGGTAAAAGCAGTAATGTTATGATATCTTATTAATCTTAAGATTTAAAAAAAGTTTCATTAAAATTTAGAAGGAAATGATACAATTTTCCAAAATAATATTGCCCTACGTATACTTAATAATTGTATTTTACGTATACTTAATACGTCTAAGAATACAAAATAGCAGATTTCTGACTTAAACCTTTGAAAACCTTAAGTATATTAAATTAAAAAAAAGCTCTTAGATCTTAAACTAAAAAAATAAATGTTTTTAGATTGTAGATTACAGTTTTACAGCTCACGCTAGAAGAAATAAATCAGGTAAGTCCAACTCAACATGTAATCAATTCCTGATTATTGGTTATAGAAATGAGCGAGATCACTTGGTTCTTAATTATGGGCTATCAAGACTAGCATCACTTTTGGCCCACTGCTCCCGATGACGGTGTCTTTTGCCTTGCGCTATTGTCATTTACTTTGCGGCAAGCAATTACATGCGACAAGCCAGGCGGCGGTTGTTTGTTGTTGTTCTAGCTGTTGCTGCTGTTGATATTTGATGTTTGTAGCTTATGGCTTTGGTAGGCGTGGCCAAGTTTATTGTTGTTGTTTCTGTAGCCGCTGTCGTAGTTCGCCACATTTGGCCGAGAAAATTTATGTCAAGCCGCCTTCTTTTTGGGCCTCTGCGCGAAAACATGCGTAAAAGTAGCTGCGAAAATGCCGCCCACTTTTCACCCCTCGTCCCATGTTCCCCGTCCATTTTTCGCATGCCTAATGGTTGCTGAAATTAAAATGCCTGGCAACAAACATAGGCAAACTTTTTCTTGGCACCAAAGGGGTGTGGGTTAGGGTGGCAAGATTTATTGGTTGAACACACCACAATTCGAAATGCTATTTTTGGAAAGCAAAAGTTTAACATATGTACTCTGAATGGGTAATTTTTCAATAAATCATGTGGGGCAAGGAAAAATATTAACATGTTTTAAAATATATAACTATAAAATAGTTATACCTTGTACACAAATAAAATAAAACCAAATCAGAAACTACACAGATCTTAAGTTTTCAAAATATTTAAAAAATATCTAAAGTCTATAGATCTATCAAATCTTTAGATTGAAAAAGAAAGCTTGAGTAAATATTAAGGAAATAAACCCATACTGATTGGACTGTATTCTTGTTACCAAGATCTTAATCGAGTCCCAATAAATTGTGAATTTACCTTAATTTAAAATTGAACCCACCCTACCATCAGTGGGTGGCTGATTGGATGAAAGGGAAAGTCCGGAGAAAGGAGGGAGCGGGATGGCCTGAGTTTAACAGCAGCGTTGACAGCCGCATTGGGCGCTTGGCATCTGTCAAACGTGTCATACGCAAAATAGCTTAACTGCCATAAAAACAACAAGTGCGTCAGGCAGCGGAGATCGTAAAACGCTTTATTACAAGCCCCCCTCCGAAGGGGGGTTACGTACGGAAAATGTGCGGCGACGTTTATGTCTCACAAGTGGGCGAAAAAGGGGGTGGGGGCCAAGTGGGCGAAAGGTAAACACTCGAAATTCCCATTGAAGAGGAATTCCTTGGGCGCCGTTTGTTGATTCCCATAATGTTTACTTTTATGTTTCACCCGATTTATTTGATTTGTTTATGAACTGACCCCGAAACCGACAATCTTATGTGGCTCGAACTTCTCTGAAATTAATTAGCTCTTAGACATCATTGCATTCTGTCGAGAAATCCACCCTTAAGAGTTTGAACACCATACGTTTTTGAAAGCCCAAATTAACTTGCTATATTATGTGTTGTAACTAAACAAAGCATAATTTGTGCTTTAAAAATAACATCTTAATGATTATTTTATAATGTCTCAGATATTTTTAAACTGAAATCCCATTTTGGATCGCATTTTCTTAGTTAATTTATTGGCTTTTCAATTGATAAAATGTATGTAATACTTTATTTTTTAACATTTGTGGGGCTTATAGAAACATAATGGTTTAATTTTCTGAGTAACTTAAGACTTTAATAAATTATGAATCAATGTCTTTTGTAAAAAATTCGATTGGCAGACCAATATTTTATTTGCTTCCTTCTCTTTTGTAATATTTTTATAACGAATAAGAATTGTGGGTTTACCCGAATTTGTTACACATAGAAAGCCTTTTATGGAGAACATAAGGGTTAATAACTTCGTATCTCTGATGTCTTTTTATACATTTATCTACTTTATCTGCTGGCTTCCTCTGATTTAGTTGATTTCCCTGATGGTAATGCATTATGCTTTATCTGATTTATTATCCTTTTCCAGTCTCCCACCCCCCACTTTCTCCACCACCCTCTCTCACTATCTTTCTCTCCTTCTCCTTTTCCTTTTACCCTTTACCGCTGCTTTATCTTCCTCTTCTTCTGGTCAGAACGCCAACGCCTCGCACACATACATGCGGCCATAGTTTTTTGCCCCATGCACACACATAGAAGCACTGGGGGTTTTAATAATAGCGCACACACACATAAAAGCTCCCGCTGGAGCAGAGAAATGTTGCACTAAAAACTTCAACGCCCGCACTTCTGGCAAATATCAAACAGCAAGCAGAAATCACAAAAGCAAATACAAAACTTTCTTGCCAACACACACACTTACGTAGTCGCTTCCCTTTTCACGGAGAGAGTTTGTGGGTGGTGGGAGAGAGGGGCGGTACTGCCACAATAATACTCTTGTTGTCTGCGGCAACAGTTATGAAAAGTGCGGAAAAGAGAGGGAAACACAAAAAAAACAGGAAGTTTGTTGATTTTTTTCAATTAACACAGCGGCAGCGAGAAAGAGAGAGAAAGCGAGATAGAGAGAGAACACTTCTCTGCTGGGGGAATTTTACAATTTATGGGTCTTTGCACTAGGTAAACAAATGCTTATACAACACCCCTATGCGGTTTATTAAATATGATTTTCTTTTATTTTGCTTTGTTTATCTTATTTGATTTTTCATTCAATTTGCTTTGCTATTCTTGCTTATTTCTTTAATTGTTTTGTTTATTTCATTTGATAATAACAAATTATGTATATTATTTGGTTTACCTTAATTTATTTCAAAATTTGTATATAATTTGTTCATAAATTGTATTTATTAAATATTTTCTCCCCAAAATTCCTTTCATTTCATTTTTATTACTTGACGAAAAGTTGACAAAATAAAACCACAACAAAAAAGCAAATCAAATCGCACACACACACCTGCAATAGACGCCCGCCCACTCACACACACACACACACACAGGCACACACATATGGCGTACCTCTCACAACAACAATTAGTTTGCACCAAAATGCACTGGATGTCGCTCTGCCGCTGCGCTGCTACTGCTCTGCCGCGTCGCTGCTACTGCGCTGCCACCGCCAAAGCCGCCGACACTTTGTTGTTGCTTTGGGGCTGCTTCTTTTGTATTTGCAAACACACAAAAACACAGAGGCTCACACACAAACACACACACTCGCGAACTCGCTTGGCGGCGCCGCTTTCTTTACACTTTTTTCAAACAAACTTTTTCCAAAAGCACACAGAAAGGCAGAAAGGCCCGCTCTCCGCTAGACCGCTATTTCCGTTTCCAATTCGAATCCGTGGCGACAACCGTTCCGCTCGCGATGCAAAAACAAAGTGAGACGAGTCGAGACGGCCGCCAACAGCTGGAGCAGCCCCCAAATGTTATCGATTCATCGGAATAGCATGCCTGTTAACGAGAGAGCCAAGCAAGAGAGAGAGCGAGCCCCAAATGGAGTCTTAACAGTTGGGATTGTGTACTCGCTACTTATCGATATTTCAGGCTAACGGTGAAATTTGAATTCAAATGGGAAATTTTACCAAACGTTATATCTTTCCAAAGATCTCAAATATAATATTTATTAAGGTTTACAAAACCAATTCAATAGTAGCACTTCTTACTGCACCAATCCCAGATACAACCGTCCATCGCATTGCAGCCAAATTCACCCGGATACAAGGCGCAAAAATCCTCGGTATTCATAAAGGCGCAGGTTCCATTAGGACAGTAGTAACTATAGCAGCTGGGAGAGCACTTATCCCGCTGATGATCCTTGCAGCCGGAACAATCCAAAACTTCTGCAGAGATTAAAAAAACGGTTATAATTGTATTGAGAAAATATATTCTGAAATATATGTGAAAAGGTTTGCTTTGATGGATGGGAATATCTATAGATATTTTTTTAAGCTACACCTACCGCTCTCCTTGCACTCCGACGTACTGCAGGCCAAGAGTGGCGGATTGGGTGGCATCACCACGCGCTTAGTGTTTTCGTCATAGACAATCTTCGGCGGCTTGAGATAGACCACTGGGGCTGTGCAGACCCTGGGATCGCATAACTTCTTCTCCTTGCTGGAGCACACCCAATTGGGGGCGTAGTTGATGCAGATGCGGGACTCTTCAGGAAACAGCAGCCTGGACCAGGTTTACGATCCGGAAATGGTTCATCGACCACCGACTGCTCCGTAGTTGGCCTTAAACTTGGAAATATCCAGGGACGTCTTGTTGTTGTATTGGTGGAGCCACTATGTTATCGGGTGTGTTTGCGGGTGTACTAAAGTCGTAGCTCTTGTCCTTATCGGGATCGTAAGGTGCGGCTGTAGCGTACTCCACATGGTTAATATTTTCACTGGTCACCGAGTACTTGTGCTCGTTGTGGATCACATTGGCGATCTCAAGGATTGTGTTGATGTATCCTGGTTCTTGGCACCTTTTTCCGTACCAAACGGTTCCCGGTGGACATGCCGATGAAATGCAGCGCCCAGCGTAGTATTCACCCTCTGAACAGACGATTTTCGGCATTGCGATTCGTAGAATATTGAGCCCGGCGGACAGCGAGTAAGTTCTTCAATTACTGGAGGTGGATACGGAATTGGTTCCGTGGTGGTGGTGGTTGTTGTAGTAGGTTTTATCGTCGTAGTAGTTGTTGTAGTAGTTGGTTCTGTTGTCGTAGTTGTTGTTGTAGTAGTGGGCTCTGTTGTTGTTGTAGTAGTGGGTTCTGTTGTTGTAGTTGTTGTAGTAGTAGTGGCTTTTGTTGTTGTAGTAGTAGTGGTGGGTTCCGTTGTTGTTGTAGTAGTAGTTGGTTCTGTTGTAGTTGTTGTAGTGGTGGGTTCTGTTGTCGTTGTTGTAGTTGTTAGTTCTGTTGTTGAAGTAGTAGTAGGTTCCGTTGTTGTGGTTGTGTTTCAAAAGGGCAGGGTTCTGGATTAGTCCTATAGCACAATTCATCAGTGTTAAGAAAGTAACCTAAATAAATGAAATGTATTATTTAACATAAAGATTGTAATGAGCGATATCCTTACCAGGTGGACACTTTTATTAGTCTGTGGGTAACATTTTCCATCTGTGTTTAAGTAGTGTCCTAACGGAAAAAAGAATAATTTAAATCCATAAAGTAATTGCTATTATTTTGACTATAGTCACTAGTAAAAGTTTTATAAAGCGATTGTTTGTAAAATGAGTTTGAGCGTAGTGGTTTATATTTCTAATATTTATAAAAGTTGCTGATAAGGAGCTAGCACTCGCCAACGTAATATTTGCATATACCAAACAACTCAAGCGGATTACAACTACAAAATATAAAGCCATCTTCAACATACTTTTTGTTTATTTTGTATGCTATTTAAATACAATCTTTGAAACCATTGATAATTTGTATTAGTGATCACATAAAGTGACTGATAATATTAGACACCAGTGCGTATACATAATTATTTTTTGTACCAAGCGATTAAAGGTATGTGAGAGGAATCTTACCTTCGGGACAAACAGATGAGCTGTAGCACTTGCCATTGATATACTGGTATCCCGTGGACACAAGGCATCCTATGGATAGACAGTTTATAAGGATTGGGATCTGAATAAAACACCTTTGAGTTACCACTATATCTGCTTGAGCATTTCCACAGATTGCATTGAAGATCAGCCAGGCGACCAGAACCGAACTAACAGATTTTGTAAGCATTATGCGTGAGTTCCCGATCGAAATCTCCGGATTCCGAGACAGCGATTCGCGTTGTACGGCTGTCCGCACTTAGAGAGAGACTAAACTAATCGAAGCGTCGATCCGGCGATGAGCTCAGGGGGATTGGGATTTGTTCTGAATGGAAAGCATAATTGCTGGCGCCGCGATAACCTTCTCCGCACGCCCCAGATAACGGTGAAGGTCGCTTGGGCTAGAGCTTCAGCTGTTCCTGATCCGTAATCGGTGAGCCGGGTTCAGTTCGAATCGGCATGTCTGATCGGAAAGAGCGTTCCCGGCTGCCTCAGCTGCTGCTGCTAATCTGCCTTGGTCTATTCCCTGCGGAGGTTATCACCAATACTATACCAATTCCCTGCCAGAATGGTAAGTTCGACTTGGAACACTCCTGACTTACGCTTTATCAGTGATATTTCTTATATCTTATCCTAGGTCAGGTTTATGCCAATGGCGGTTGCAGTCCCATTATTGTGAATGTGTTTAATGGATGTGGTGGTCAAACGGGGATAACATGCAATACTGCTAATCCTGTGGTTGTCCCTAGTACTCCAGGTTGCCCCAACGCTCCTTTACCACCTACAGTGGATCCAGTTACGCCTGAAAAACCTAAAGTGGACCCGGTAAATCCAGCTTGTCCCAACGCTCCTTACACCCTACTGTGGATCCAGTTACTACTGAAAAATCTAAAGTGGACCCGGTAACTCCAGTTTGTCCCAACGCTCCTTTACAACCTTCAGTGGATCCAGTTACTCCTGAAAAACCTAAAGTTGACCCGGTAACTCCTGCATGTCCCAATGCTCCCTTAAATCCTATAGTGGATCCCGTAACTCCAGCTTGCCCCAATGCTCCTTTAAATCCCAACGTGGTTCCTCCTTCCTGTCCTAATAATTGTCCATCCTCACAATGTCCAAACAATTGCCCAATTCCTGTAATAATAATTGCTCCTCTAACTGTCCTAATAACTGTCCCAACGCTAGTACTCCATGTCCGACCCTTCCACCCTCAACTTCCACTCCCCAATCAACACCTGCTCCTCAACCCACGGCCCAACCAGCTCTACCACCATATAATACACCCCGTCCTGACCCAATACCAGACCCTATCCCCATTCCACCACCGGCTCCCATTATCCGCTGTCCGGAAGGATCAATCCTGATAAGAGGTGTCTGCCGTCTTATTTTCTGCGGAAGATATGAAATGTACAACGAAGGACGCTGCACTCAGGCCCGCTGTCCTGCAGGATATGTTTGGACTGGAATTCGATGCTCAAAACCCAAGCCCGTGGAAATCGGCAACATTCACATAGAGAACTATGTACACCAGGCAGCTGGAAGTTTGCCCCACCTAATCACCAACAATGTAAACAATGTCGAGGTCAACGCCTCCATTGCCATCCCAGGACAAACATCTGATGAGGAGGAGGAGGATGAGGTGGAGGAAGTTGTGGTACCAAAACCCCCTTCAGGTCCCTGCTGCAATGTATTTTCTCCCCGGACTTGCAGCACCCAGGTGGATCAGGTGGGATACAAGTGCTTCAGCAGGAGCCAGCAGCAGTGTGGTTCCTTCTGCAGTGCCAACAAGGTGGTCCTCGCATCACCTAACGTTACCACCTGGACGCAGGACAACAACCAGATGGTGGTCTTGCCACCCAACTGGGCGGGTCAGGGCTGCCAGTCCAACGGAGGCCCCTGCCAACAGGCTCAAAGTAAGTTTTACCATTAGTTTTAAGAACATGAAAATGTTTTTATACAAGAAAATGTCATTCAGATATGATACTATTCACTAATATTCTATATTTTAGACTTTTACGACTGCAGTGGCTGCGCAATTGGTGACTTTTCGACCTGCTCGACGTACTGCTACACCTACAAGTGCAGCACCCACAACTGCGCCTTTTATGACCAGACCCAATACTGCTCCCAAAATCCTGGCCAAATAGGCTGCCGAGCGGATGATGGATGGTTTCCAATATCGTAAATATACGCTATATCAAACCCAAAAACCATGAAAGCTCTAACAATCAAGTTCTAATAACTCATTGTTTTGTTTTTGAGTAATATATGAAAAATATATATTTAAAATGCTTTACAAAAATATCTTAATTTTTTTGATGAAAAAGAGCTTACAAGTAAACTTTCTATACCCAAAATTTGTGCAGATATTACTGGAGCAATCATTTGGTCATAAACGATGGCAGTAAATTAGGTTATGCAATCGCAAATGATACGGTTTGTGTTCCTGACCTCTCTCAATAATAATTTAAGCAAATACAAAATATTAAAAACATTCCATAATTTGTCTTTTAATTATATTTTAGTCTAGTTGATATTTTAAGCCACTGAGAATTTATCTAAATTGCATACTTCCTAGTATTACTGTCAATAGTTTGATAACTTGACGTCAAAGGGCATGGTGATATGAAATTGATATGAAATAGTGCGTCATTTTCGAGAATTCGAAGCGCCACACCAATAAAATAGTAAGCTCAAAATTTGGCAATTAGATAAAGTATATATATTTAGTAAAGATTTGAAATGGACTCCCATATGCTGTGTCATCTCTACACCCGTTGTCAATGCACAGTAGAGTGCAAAAACCTTATCAGTCTTAAAATTAGCTGATGATAATCGATCGCTTTTTCTATATTTGTGCAGCATGTTCCGTAGAATTCCGATTGATTCGTATGGCAATTGAGTGAAAGCTTCGCCAGCAATCAATTCTTTGATAGTGTTATCTAGCCTTATCTTCAAGGGTAGGTAAGAGGTGGGTGGGTGGTTCCTCAGCCACCACTCAACCATTGCAGTTGGGACTCTACTTTTCGCACCAGCGGACGTACTGTTAAATCGAACCGCCAAACCCTATCGATAATGCCGCATTCCAAGGTGAGTAATATACTACCGGGATCAGCAAAGTCCGAGAATTTCGTTCGTTTTTAGCGCTAATTGAAATTTTCAAAGAGCTGGCATTGGTAACACTGGTGACTAAACCATTGCCTAAAAATGTCAAGGCAATTTTTTTGTTTTCGCACTTTTCTTATCAACCGATTGTTATGAAATTTGCTTGATTGTCAGATGGTAGCGAATTTGATGGGCCTAATAATATAGAAGATAACATCACATGTTATAGATTTTTGGCACCTTAAAGTAGTGGGCAAATAAAGTCATATAACCAATCCAATAGCTAGATCACGTTTCAAACTTTTTAAGTGTCCAACAATAAATATAGTTACTAACGTTTTTTAAACTAAAATACAAATCTAGTTGATTCACACTTTGATTTTGTTTATTTGTTTTTACTAGTCACCGACAAGAAAAGCGGTGAGATGGTGAATAGACGATGAAAATCTAATCTTATCTATAATAGAGAATTCGGAAATATTTAAAGTAAATTGGTAGTTTACCTATTTCTGAATAAAACTATCAAATGCGGAAAAAGCTTATACCCATAAAAGTTAATTAATTGTTGAATTATTTTTGCAGCTGCACCTGTGGGCGGTGGTTGGGCTCCTCCACCTGCTGACCTTTGCCACCAGCGCCGAGGATCAGCTGAAAAACAACACGATAGTGGTGCAAACCCCACTCCAGAACTACGAACAGCCAACTCTACGGGATTACGAAGAATGCCAACAAAACAGAGATAATTGTATAAATGTTTGCGACTACAATAAGACCTGCGAAGATGAGTGTCCTGTTTGTCCGGAACTCTACGATAAACCCCTGATGGTTCAGGGCATTAACGATACAGATATAGTGGCACCCCACAAGCCCCCATTAATACAACCAATATTATTCGCCTCACCAACGAGATCAACAACATAATCGAACACCAAATCCAGAATCGAAATGAGGTCAATGTTAAGGTTAATCAAAATGTCTCCCAGGTGGGAGGACGCTTTGGATTGGGCTACAATGACCATGGATCCTGTTGCTATGTGGTGCGTTTGGATCGGGAGTGTGAGCAAGAAGGTGGTCGTGATTGCAGGGAGAAAAGCCGTCTACGGGTTTGTGGCGAAAGGTGTCAGGCCAGAGTGATGTTGGCCAAAAGAGTGGTCCAGTGTGATACCGAAGATTCCGACCAGTGTCACGAAACCATCGAATATGTGCCGAGGAGGAGAAGATCCCACTCCAGGAAGTCCAAACAACAAACACAGTGTCAATACTTTGGCAACAATTGGCCATATTTCTCCTGTGGCCAAAATCCAGGGCAAAATGGAGCATTGGTTCAGCCACCAAGGGTGAAACGCTCCACTTGCCAGCAGTGTCTCAATTACCCGTATGGATACATTCTTCAAAATGGTCTGCCCGCCGAATGTGCAGGTTGTTTCCAGGGATTTGGAGCCCCCATGATGCCCATCTATAATTCTCCTTACATGTACAACCCATTCATGCCATATCCACCATATGGCAACTTCCCAGGTTTTAATAACAACGGAAATAATGATGGAAATAATTATGGAAGCAGCAATGGAAATAATAATGATAATAACAAAGTAGATAGCAACATCGCAGGTTCTGGAGACGATGGCTGGATCTTATGTGACGATAATAACATTGAAAACTGCCTAAATAAAGAGGATACCAAGGATTCACAACAAGGACCACCGCTCATTGGAAAAGCCATCGGAAGACGATAGAGATTCAGATGATTACAACGTTGAAATAATGAGAAGACGCCGCCAAAGTCGCCGCAACTTTGTTCGTTCCGCGTACAGTAAACGCAATCGCGAAAACTACTAATATGTTCTAAATATAACTTAAAACTCTTGAGATTTTCCGCAAACCTTTTGCCTCAATATCTAATAGTATTTTTGGTCAACCAAAACATAGAATACTTTATAAAACTACTGCTATACTCGCCATTTGTATATAATATTTTACCGAATAAAGAATAGTTTCGAACCGATAATATTTGTATTTCTCTTTAACTAATAATATATGAAGCATTTTCATTAGTTCAATTTTATAAAGAGTGTATAAGTGTTAGGAACAAATATTATAAACGATATCGAGTCCACAACTTCGTTCAAACGAGGTCAAACTTTTTATGGTTCCCTTACGGGGGACCTGAAACCCAGAACAATCATTCCTTTTTTTATGTAATCCCGATAAGCTATCAGCCTTCGAAGGCAATTAACATCCAGGCATTGTGTACTTTAAATAACGATTTATTTTGATAGGCAGGGTATGGAGCAGGGTGACAGGGCGGGGAGACCTCGTTCTCCTTATAGACTAAACAACGTTTAATAAAATCTGGATTCGTCCTGCTCGAATGCTTACGCTCGCGATCTGGGCATACATAATATTAATATAGTTGATTGGATGTGAAAACATTTGTTCTGGCATTTCAATTGCAGGTAGATAGTTTCGTAGGCTTCTGGGCGGGGGTCCTGATCGCCTCCTCTGCCCCTCGTCCCTCGCCCCCTTCTCGATGAACAGTGGTGGAACAAGACTACTAGAACTTATGTTAATATTGCGCGTGTGTTGATTTTAGTTGGTTTTTCGCTACAATTTTAAGGGCCGTCAGTTTGGCAAAGAGCTCTACTTGATGCCCAATTCCTTGAGTTCGGTTTCCTCATCCACGGAGTCCTCATCATCCGAACCGTGCACCGATGGAGCTGGAGTGGTGTGACCTATGGGAATACATTATATTAGATTTAACTTTTAAACATTTGTATCCTTGGTTTATCATTTGCAAATCATTCTCAAGGTTTATGCATTTTCTATATGTTTTAGCATTGATTGTTATTTGCAATTTACATGTTTTAAAAATTGGTAAAAACTTTAGGTAGGCTTACTGTTGCAATATTTTGTTTGTCTAAAAGTATTCAATGATTTTTTACCTGGCGCTTATCAGTACATGTAATAGAAATGCATATATGCACACAGGAACATCGCATTAAAATAAATCGCTGCTTACTTTTAGACCTGGTCTTAATTTAAACATGCACTTTTAATATGTTCCAAAGAAATAATAATAGATTAGGATATATTTAATAACAAAGTTATGAGTATTAGGCAAAGAAAGGTAAAAGTGCAATGTGGAATGTCCAAGCGCTGTTTTATTCATAACTTTACCAAAATAGTCAACAATTAAAAACTTTTCTTTAAAAGCACGAAAACAATAATAGATAAAGCATAAAAACTGGAAGTTTCGAGTATAATTTGCATAACTATTTAAGTTTTTATCGGTCTGTATCTTCTTCCTCCCACTTACGCGATGAAGTAGGGCTGGGCGGTTCGCTTTGCGGTCGCGAGAAGATCAAATTGCTTTTGATCCGTAGAGAGACAGTTCGTCCACATAGTCCGGGTATACGGCCTGCAAGGCCTTAACCCTGGCCTGTCTGTAGTACTATAAAAGGAAATAACAGGAATTAGTTTAGTTATAATCATAAATAATATTTGGATGGTTATATGATAAGGAAGAATATATGTGATGATTAGCATGAATACTAACAATGCCCAGGGTACGCCAGTCCAGAAGATCGCTCAGCCGCTCCGTGCGATTACGCTGGATGATGCGCTGGCGGCGATTGAGCCGGGAGAATTCCATCATGAAGCTGGACAGCTGCTGGACGCTGTTCTCCAAGCCAATGTACCGACGATCACGATGTAGATGCCGTAGGACTTGGGATCACTGATGTGCTCCTCCATGAAGCAACCGAAACCGGACAGGTTGGTGGTCACGCTGGGAATTCCCATCACCGTGCACTCGGCGGGGGTGTAACCCCAGGGCTCGTAGTACGAGGGGAAGACACCCAAGTGGCAGCCACGGACGAACTCTCGTAGTCGATTCCAAACAGGGGATTGGTGGACGTGAGGAACTCCGGATGGAAGACCATCTTCACGCGATCGTGCCGGGAGTTGAACAGATGGCAACGACGGATTGAGGCAAGAACAGGATCGTTCCAGTCATCGGCCACATTGTGCGTGGTAACCGGCGGCATCGAATCACGCTGCATGGCAAACATACAGCGCTTGATCTTCACCAGATCCTCCTTCTGGAGCAGATCATCGGCAGTGGGGATAT